GAGCCCGTGTCCCCTGCATCGGCAGGCGGACTCTCAACCACTGCACCACCAGGGAAGCCCGATGAATTAGATTTTATTGCATGGCTTTCAAAGCCGTCTATAGCCCCTTTCTGGGTGTTTTTTTTTTTTTTTCCCCCTCATATACACCTTGTCCCTAAGCATTAATCCCTCTCTGCCCACATCCATGGCACTTTCTAGCTATACAACTTGATCTTCAAATATTACAAGTTCTTTCATGCCTTGACTCTTGCTTCAATTTTGGATTTCCTTCTTTCTCTTCAAGGTAAGCTCTTATTCGCCATTCAAGGTCTAGCTCAAAGTTCACCTATAAGAAGTCTTGCTGAGCTCTGAGCAGAGTTGTCACTTGTGTGCTCCCACAGCACCAAGTCATACCTGTATAGGAGGACTTATCTTCGAGAATAGCATATCTGTTTACCTGTCTATCTCACTAGATGGAGAGTTTTTTGGAGGTTCTTAAATAGCTTTGAATGCTTGGTGCCTAGTTCATTACCAGGCATGCATTACTTCTTGTAGTGCACTAGGCACAGGGAGAAAAACCAAAAACTAGAGACATGGTAAAGATAAGAATCAAGCAAATATCAAAACCATCCTGGGAGTCAAATTCACCAGTTTCAAGGCAAGAATGAATAAGATGTAAGTAAAGCAAGGATAGAAACAGAAGTGTGACTTCAAGGTCAGACAAATGCCGGGAAAGATGAAACCCTCATGCTGTCAATACTAGATGAAATATTTTGTTTCGGTAAATCTTATAAACTATTTGAGGCAATAAGAATTACAGACCTGAAACAGAAACAGTAGCAGACATTACGTAATTTGTTGTTAAAGTTTAAAGATAGACTTAAATGCTGAAGGAGTTTGAGGGACAGCTTCAAGAAGGTGTGAACATGGAGCTGGACCTTGAAGGATGGTTAAGGTTTTTACAGGTGGATGGAAGAAGAAATGTCATTTCAGGAGAGAGGAAGAGTTCCAGTGAAGGCATCGAGCTGTAGATGCTCATGCTGTGTTTGTCGGAGCTAATTTTACCTATAGCAGAGGGGAGGAATTTTATTAAAGAGGCTAGTTGGAGACTGCTGGGGAGGATAAGAAATTAAACTTGAATTCATAGAAATAAAGATCCATGAGAGTTTTTGAAAGAGTGACATTGTGACTGCTCAGTTACAGCTCAATTCTGCTGAACCTATGTTTGGGGAGGACATTGATTTAATGTCTCTGGTAAGCACATCTGGGCAAAAATTATCCATGTTGTAATAGACTGTAAAGGTCTTAATTTTACCAAAGTTTCTTTCCAGAGATACTTTTTATAAGTTGAAAAATGGCTTGATTATGTGGAAAGTACAATCCTGATGAAAAGTTTCTCTTGTTTACATTCTTACAAATGTTTTCTTCTTTTAAAGTGTTAGTGACAAACAGTCTGCGGTAACTGAATCCTCAGGGGATACAGTATCCTTATTGAGGTGAAGTAAATTGACATTTTTCTTCTCTGTGTTTAAAATCTTTGAAACAATTCATGCAAACCTAGGTAGGTTATAATAACTGCCACGCAAATGGTATGGTTTGAAGAATTATCGCAGGGTCCTACCTACCTCCACAGATATTTAAGACCCTGATGGGTCTTGAAATGCCAAACTATGGAGACCTGCATCTTGGGATCCTGGGTTGTTTCACATTATTTCTACAAGGAGTGCACGTGGAGGGAGTACTTGAACTTAAAGCAAATAATTAGTAAACTCTTATTCTGTCAGAAACAAGGTGTGATGCTGGGACAGGAAGGGGATGGAGCTTATTTACATTTCTGATGAATGCCCCAAATTGCGATTTTATGAAATTACTTAAAAAGCTGTTTAATCTATTAGAAATGCTATAACAGACAATGTAACATGTTCAGAGAGCAGAACGTCTGCATGAATGATTTCATAGTGTAGAGCAGTTGGGATGCTAAATGGAACCGTGGGGCAGGGGTGGCTGACTTGGTGTGGAGGAGGTCACTGGAGATGAGGAGTTGAGGGGCCAGCTTGTTATCTGGGCTATCCATGGAAACACGGAAATAATTCATGGTGATGGCGGCACTCGGGGATAGAGAAAGATCTGCGAATCATGGGAGGTGCTTAGAAGGATAGTGAAAGATTATGGAGCATGGTAGATAGCGATACACCTCAGTGGCGTGACTCCTCAAAGGCTAAGGTTTCTGTGGAAGCAGGATCCTGAAGGTGGCATCCATTAGGAAATGGAAAGTATAAAGACCCACCTCTCGGACCGTGTGGTTTGCGGAAGAGGAAGCTATTCTCTACTTAAGGAGGCCACAAAGGAGAGAAATACTGTTCCCAGGGGAGAGCTAGACTTTAGACAGACGAAGAAGTTGAGAGTGGCATTCCAGAGAGCGCAATAGAAAGGTTGGGGACGGCGGGAAAGCATTAGTAGGTTGCATAGAGCACTTACAGGCCTCAAAGTATAGATTTTCGTGGTGATAAAACAGCTGCCTAAGCTTAGTTGAACGTTTTTTTCTTCCATTTTAGTTTGTTCCTTTGTAAGTTGAAATAACGCGAACATTACAGGTTGTCAAAAAATTCTGTCACATCCTGTATTTCCAAACAGTCTTACCTTTCCAGAAAGCCCTTTTTGGAATCTGTGAAGATAATCAAGTGATATCTACCATCATGTATAAAGGAATTTTGGAATTTCTCTAATTGGAATGCCAAAAGACTCTTAATTTCTGAGTAGATGAGATGGAGAAAATAAATGGGAGAGAGGGAAGTCTGAGGAAGAAAAATCTTAAGAGGCTAAAGATTAAGATGGGGCATTAGGGCTTCCCTGGTGGCGCAGTGGTTGGGAGTCCGCCTGCCGATGCAGGGAACGCGGGTTCATGCCCTGGTCTGGGACGATCCCATGTGCAGCGGAGCGGCTGGGCCTGTGCGTCTGGAACCTGTGCTCCGCGACGGGAGAGGCCACGGCAGTGAGAGGCCCGCGTACCGCAAAAAAAAAAGATGGGGCATTAGTGCAGGGAGAGCACCAAAGGGAAACAGACCAAAGTAGAAGCAGGTCCTGGATAGAGATTGAGACAAATCATCTACCCTTTTCTATAGCTTTTCTAGTCTTTGCAGAACAAATCACAAGCTTTTGTGTTTCATTTAGGTCTCACAAAAATCTCTTCTTATCTAAGTTGAAACATGGAAACCGACAACAAGATGTTGATAAGAAAGAGGAAAGAGTGGAAACTCTTCAAAGTAAGTACACTTATTAGTTTTCAGAGGGGAGAATTGATACTTGAAAGCGATCCAGCCCTTGACCACACCCCACAACACACAGACACACATCAGAAAAGTAAAGCAGGAAGGGATTAAATGTCATGACTTCAAAGAGATAATTAGAGGTGGTGCTTACTTTAGAAAGTTACAGTTGGTTCTTGTTATTTACGGTAATGTTCTATAAGGTCATTGTGAACACTTAGTGAATACTGAATGATTACAGGGGAATACAGGGTTAGGTTGTTTTGAGCCTCTGGTTATAACATTTTGGTCAACTATTCAATACGTAACCTTGTTTTATGTGTTTCTGTTTATTTATTTAGGCCGCACCATGCGGCATGCGGGATCTTAGTTCCCCGACCAGGAATGGAACCCGTGCCTCCCACAGTGGAAGCACGGAGTCTTACCACTGGACCACCGTGTTTCTGTTTAAAGAAACCTTATTTAATATACATTGTTGATTCGTTAACATTGAACCCAGGCCAACAACACTGTAACTCATGCCCGAATGAAGCTTACCTAACCACATATTTTTCTCTGTAAGGAACATCATACATAGCCTTCTTGCACTCAGGAACAGCACTTCCACAATACACTTGGGGAAAATTTTAAACAGCAGAATTATCCCCCAAAACACAAAAATACAGCACTAAATAGACCATAAAAAGAACAATTATTTCTAGTCTGGAAGCTAAAGTAAGAAAGCAGAGCTTCACCTTGTTTAACCTCAGCTGGGAACATGAACTCAAATATTTTGCCACTCTGTGCATGTCCACCGGTGTCCACAAAAGCACTGCAAGTTTTGATTTTTGTTAACAACTTTCAGCAGGTAGGTGAATTTTCAAATACCAGAATCCATGAATATAATGAGGATTGACTATGTATAGACTCTGGCATTGCAGATTGCATTTAGAATTTATTCCTCATTGCATTTAGAATTTATTATCCTTATAAAAGGCACTGCTAGATTTAAAAAACAAGCAACAATAACCAAAAAAAAAAATCTTAAAAGCAGTCTGTAATTATTTTCGATTATAATATAATTGTAAGTTCTTCCTTGGTATATATTCATTCAAAAAACGTTTATTGAACCCGTACTATGTTCTAATGCAAGGATTTTTAAACTTTATTGATCCAAATCTAAATACTTACTGATCAGTATAAAAATAATAGATGTACCAACTTGATTCCAGGTACATAGTATGCCTGAAGTAAATATTAATTGAATAAATTTATTCTTAGCTGATGGCTGATGATAGGGCCACTGTTAGCTAGTATTTCTAAATTACAGCTCTAAAACATTTACATCTGTAGATATTATCATCGTCCTCACTTTAAAGATGGTAAAGTTAAACTCAAAGAAATACTTGCTTCATGTTGGTGGAGTTCCTAGCTGCAAAATGGCTAGGAATCATAATTCTAGAGTAAAATAATTTGGGGATTTTCCTGGACTTTTAATTTCATAAAATAAAGTTCAAAGAAATGGAAGCATACACTTTTTTACACTCTAGCTGATCAGTAATTGAACCAATGAAGACCATAATCACATTGTAGGGTGGCTTGACAGTGACTATGGATATTGAACCTAGAAGATCCTGTGAGTTTTAGTACATTTCTTGACTTTTTGTTAGTTGTTAGTAATATATACATATACATTCCAAAAAAGTCCGAGTTCCTTAAATGTTACCTAGGTATCCTCTTTTTCCTAATAGAGGATATTTATTTCGTTCATGCTAAACATTTAAAAAAAAATTTTTTTAGGCATCTTTTAAAAACAATTTTTTTTCAGTTTTGTAAAATTGCTATGTACTTTTAAAAAATCAAGTAATTCAGAAAAATTGAAAAAAAACCACTTAAATGCTTTCTATGCAGAAAAGTCTCACCAGCATTCAGTGAAATGATTAATATTTGAGTTAAAAGCTTTTTATCTATAAACTCAATCCTCAAAATAATCTGGATCAGTACTTTTTTTTTTTTTAATCACTCCCATTTTACAGATGAGGAAGCTGAGACAAAAAGAGGTTAAGTGTAAAAAGCCCTTGGTCACACAGGTCATGAACAGAACCAGAGCCAGAATTTGAAATCAGACATTCTGACTTCAGAGCCCATGTCCTTAAATAACTGAGATAGATAGACTGCCTCAATGGAAGAATAGATAGAATCAAAGCAAATAAAAATTTATAAAAATGTGATGAGGTTACATATGTACTTTAAAATATATTTACATTTAATTTTTTGAAGGTGAAACTGAAGGATTCAATGAACTTCACATAAATGCTGTTTCATAAGAAATATATCAGTAAACCATATGATTCCTCCAAAATGAAGAATAATATGAATTGCTTTGATAGGTTGGGTCAGTTTGCCTCTATAACTAAATTTCAACTTTAGACTACTGATTGATTTCAGCTGTAATGGGTGAGATTAGCACAAAAATTTTGGCTAAATGTAGTATTCTTTGGAAATACTTTTCCTTACAACTTTGCAGACTTTGCTCCATTATTTTCTGACTTTTTGAGTGCTGCTGTGGACAATCTGACATCAAGCTGACTTTTTCCCCCTTTGTATATGAGTTGCTTTTTCTTCATAGTTGCCCAAGTTTTTCTAATATGTGCATTTAATGCTATAAATTTTCATTTAATTACTGCCTTAGTTGCATCCCACAAATTTTTATATGTTATGTTTTCATTTTCATCAAAATATATTTTTTTTATTTCCCTTGAGACTTTTTTCTTTGATCTTCTGGGCTATTAAGAAGCTCTTCATTTGGGCTTCCCTGGTGGCACAGTGGTTAAGAATCCGCCTGTCAATGCAGGGGACACAGGTTCGAGCCCTGGTCTGGGGAGATGCCACATGCCGCAGAGCAACTAAGCCCATGTGCCGCAACTACTGAGCCTGTGCTTTAGAGCCCACGAGCTACAACTACTGAGACTGAGTGCCACAACCACTGAAGCCCACACACCTAGAGCCTGTGCTCTGCAACAAGAGAAGCCACTTAATGAGAAGCCCGTGCACTGCGGCGAAGAGTAGCTCCCTCTCGCCGCAGCTAGAGAAAAGCCCGCGTGCAGCAACAAAGACGCAACGCAGGCAAAAATAAAAATAAATAAATATATTTATTTTAAAAAAAGAAGCAGCAGCAGCTCTTCGTTTAATTTCCAAAAATTTTAGGATATTCTAGATACCTGTCTATTAATGATTTCCAATTAATGCGGTTTTGACCTGAGAATATGCTTTGAGGATTTCTTTCTTTTTCTTTTTTAACTTAAGATTTGCTTTATGGCCCAGAATATGGTCTGTCTTGGTGACTGTTGATGTGTACTTAAGAAGAATGTGAATTTTGCTGTTGTTGAGTGGAGTGTTATAAAATGTCGATTAGGTCAAATTGACTCACAGTGCTTCTCAGGTGTTCTGTGTGCATGCTTATTTTTTGTCTTCTTGTTCTACTAATTACCGAGAGAGAAGTATTGAAATCTCCACCTATATATGAATTTCTCTTAATTATTAATCTCCATTAATTTATTTTTGGCTTTTTGGTCCTCTAGCACCTGTTAGAACAGTTCCCAATATGAAAATCTCTGTTCAAAATAACTGGTGTGGTTTCCATTAACCTCACCAACACATATGATCTGTTCCTGCACTGATACCATATTGTCTCAATTACTGTAGTTTAGTAATAACTCAGTGTGTGATAGGGCAATTTCCTTCATCTTTCTGTTATTCTTTAGGAGTATCTTGAGTATTCTTGGTGTTTTGGTCTTCCATATTGTCAGGGGGAAGAAAACCACTTTATAGAAGATTGCAAGCAGTGAAGCTGCTACCACTCCACAGGTACCAAAAGTAGACAACAAGACTTGGGTCAGAACAAGACGATTTATTACAGCACAACAGATAGCAATAGCATATGGCATCAGCGTAGTTGTGCTGGTTCCCCTCGCCAGGTCCCAAAGACAGTGCAGTGGGCCCAGGTAGATGTTCTAAAGGCAGTAGGTTGTACTGCAAGGAGGAACCTGGGGCCAAGGGCACTTTTTGCGTAAGCAGCAAGCAAAACGTAGCAAATAATCCAGTTGCCTTCCGCAGGAGAGAGTTAGTTACATGGTGGTCAGACCGTGGTTCCCTTGACCTATTTAGGTTCCTGACTAACTGTAGAAACTGTTTAGTATCAGGGAATGAGTAAGCCTTGTTGTACATTCAGCGAGAACTGAAGGGATGCTCAGGGCCCATGATGGACTAACTCTCCTAATACGTAATTTTAGAATAATCTTGTTAAATTCTACAAAGAACCCTGTTGAAATTTTGATTTAAAATTACATTGTAATAGTACACAGTTTTCTTTTTTTTGTTTTTTTAAATTAATTAATTTTATTTTTGGCTGTGTTGGGTCTTCGTTGTCGTGCACAGGCTTTCTCTGGTTGTGGTGAGCAGGGGCTACTCTTCATTGCGGTGCGCGGGCTTCTCACTGCGGTGGCTTCTCTTGTTGTGGAGCGTGGGCTCTAGGTTCACAGGCTTCAGTAGTTGCAGCACACAGGCTCAGTAGTTGTGGCTCGTGGGCTCTAGAGTGCAGGCTCAGTAGTTGTGGCTCGTGGGCTCTAGAGTGCAGGCTCAGTAGTTGTGGCGCATGGGCTTAGTTGTTCTGCAGCACCAGGGCTTGAACCCCTGTCGCCTGCATTGGCAGGCGGATTCTTAACCATTGCGCCACTGGGGAAGTCCTAGTAGGCAATTTTGGAGACAGCTGACACAATTATATTGTCTTCCTCTACGTGAACAAAAAGCATATTTCTTTATTTAGATTGTCTTATGTATATATATTCTTATAACTTGTATATGTGCATGCACACACGCATATATATAGTAAAGCTTTGTAATTTACTACATATAGATCTTGACTGCATTTGCTGGATTTATCCCTAAGAATGTTATATATTTTATTACTATTGTAAATATTATCTTTTGACTATTTTAGTTAAATATCTTAACTGTTGCTAATGTACAGAAACACTGTTGAGTTTTGTTTATTGATCTTATATGCAACCATCTTGCTAAACCTTTTTTAATTCTATGTGTATATTCTTTTAGGTTTTCTATACAGTTGACCCTTAAACAACATGGGGATCGGGGCATCGACTCTTGTGCAGTCAATGCATCCTGCTATCTCTGCCTCAAAAACAAAAGAATTGATAAGTGACTCACCTGAGGGCAGGAAGCTGAAACAGCATAGAATCAGAATTCAAACCCTAGTTCTTTTGATTCCACATATTGTGATCACTAATTGAACACAAACTCTTCCCCACACTTAAAGATCTGTAAAGTGAAAATACAGGTACTATGTGTATTGAAAAAACAATCCGTGTATAAGTGGGCCTATATAGTTCAAACCCATGTTATTCAAGGGTCAACTATACACACAATTTTCTTTCAGTAATTACCATTCTGTTTCTTTTGAGTTGCATATACATTTATTTCTTGTCTTACTAAACT